GACTCCTAATGGTTGTCGTGACCCTGAAGGTCAAAAAGGGGAATACTGCTTGGGAAACTTTCCCTAGCGGGATGCCTAACCTGGACTCCTAATCAAAAAGGGGAATACTGCTTGGGAAACTTTCCCTAGCGGGATGCCTAACCTGGACTCCTAATGGTTGTCGTGACCCTGAAGGTCAAAAAGGGGAATACTGGTCGGGAAACTTTCCCTAGTGGGATGCCTAACCCGGACTCCTACGCACCGGCCCGACGGGGCAAGGACGCTCTAAACGAGCCTGTGATAAAGGAAACTTAGTCACGCCCTTAGCTCGGCAGGGCATCAGGGTCAGTCGTGGCTCCTTTTTTTTAGGGAAGCAATCAGGAAATGAAAATAGGGAGAAGGCTATTTCCCGAATAAAGAAAAGCCAACGACATCGGGAACCTAGGGAACCTAAATACCTCGCGTTGCGTGTCCTGGGAATTCTCTGGTTTATGCAGAACTAGGCAGAATGGCCACGGAGGATGAGACGGATAACCATAAGGGCGAAGGAGGACCAGGCTTAGGAGGTAGTGCCGCACAAAGCAAAGAAGGGCAGAAAGACAGAGAATCGATAAATCCGGATGGTACCAAAGGGAACCGGAAGGAAATCTCCTCAGGAGAAAGCTCGGGAAAAGCCGGGGGAAGCAGGCAAGGGGCTCTGGAAACCAAGGAGGGCAGGAATAAGGATAGGACAAGCCCTCGGAATTCAGAGGGAGCTGTGTCAAAGAAAGTAAGGGTCACGGATGCGAGGCGCAAACTAGCAGAGATAGAAAAGAGGACCGCAGAGTACAAGGCAAGATTGATTGAGGAAATGATGACTGGGAACGAAGAAGGCCCTCTGCACGAGGAACCGCGGGACGAGCGAAAAAACAGCCGAGGCGGAACTGGACAAGGGGATAAAGGTAGTGACTGTGGGGGAACACCGAGCAAAAGGAGGAAAGAGAGAGAGAACTCCCCGGGGGTGGAAGCAGAGAAAGCCATGAACCCACAAGCTATAGATAGTAGGGTTAGCCGTCTGCCGACCACACCAGCAGTAACACGAGGATGTGAAGGGCTCTGGAGCCTCAGGGAAAGAGTGTTGGGATGGTTCGACCCGGAGGGAACTGCGAAGACTAGGGAGGGACGGAAGGCCGGCAAGGAAGGTCTGGATAACAGTATGGCAGGCGAGGCCAGTTGCTCCGAGGGCGGCCTTAGGAAGATAGTGTCGTCCCTCGCCCGAGCACTAAACAAAAATCAAGGCTACCTAGCGGACGCTAAGAAAAAGTTGACGTTTGACGGGGCGAACATCACGGAATTCCTGATAGATTACGAGAATCTGGCCGTGCTGTTGAAATGGACCGAAGACGAAAAGATGGACCACTTGGGGCAGCATGCGTCTTTGAGCTTGGGACGGGACATAATGGCCATCGTAGCCTCAAGCCGATCCTGGAAGGAAACCGGGGATGTGATGATGAGAAAGTACCTAGCAACGGAGAAGATGGCTACGGAGGCCGACTTAGCGGCAGTCCAGAGGAAGAACTTCTCAACGTACAATGACTTCCTACGGGAGTTTACTCTGGTAACACTAAGGATCCCGGGAGTGATGGATCGAATAATGAGCAAATACTTCCTTAGGCAGTTCTCCGAGTTCGACAAAGACAAGATTTTATCAGCCTACCTGCAGACGAGCAAGTTCGTAAACACTAGGGATGTGGATTTTAGCACCGTAACGGACCTAGCCGAAAAGACGGTAGTGATCGAGACGCTGGCCTTGCTCAAGGAAGGGGAGGTCATAGACCTGACCGGGAGAACAGGTGACAAGGTAAAGAAGGGGATCGAAATTCTACATGAATGGGTGCACGGAGTCGACAACAAGATTGAAAGGATGGAGAGCGCGTTATTGGTTATGCAGGCGCAAGTATCCTGACCCCCCCTTCCTCCCCAGAAAGCCGTAGTTCCGCCGGGTGTAGCTAATCGGGGATTTGTACGGAGAGATCCTGCTAACGAGCAATGCAAGTACTGCACCGCAATGGGACATTATGTACGCGCATGTCCAAAGCTCAACCATGACATATTAAAAATGAGATGTACCAGGTCGTTAAAGGGGGAGATATTCGGACCGAAGGGAGAACGGGTGAATTGGAACTCGCCAGGAGGAATGCGGCGAGCCGTTATCATACTCAATGGGTTAGAGATAGCGGCCGTAGAAGCTGAGCCGGTGGTTGATATCATCTGGGAACAACTGCGGGGTCGTGGGCCGCAGGTCAACTTCATTTTGGAAAGCGACGGACGTGATAGGGTGAACGCGATTACTCGGCTAGGGACGGTTGGGGGAAGGATTATCCGTGACATCGTGATGGAGGAGGTTGCCGGGAGTTCCGTACCCCAGGCACAACCTGAGGTCGGGGAACCAGAGAAAGTCTATGGGAAGCCTAGGGAAGAGGAACCCACAAACAAAGTTACCGCCGCCAAAAAGAAGTTTAGGTATCAGATTCCGATCTTAACCATAACAAAGGTCGATGACACCCTTAGCAAATTGCTAGGGATTATGGTGTCGGTGTCATTTCAGACCATGCTGCAGGCCAGCCCTAGGTTGCTTAAAGGGCTAAGACAACTGTTGACTCGGCGAGTAGAGATAGATGAGGACCCCGAAGCGCCGGAAGAGGAAAGGGAGGAGGAGGCTCCGCAAGAAGTCGCTAACCTGCAGAGGAGTCACGGGGACTTGGAGGATCTCGAGAAAGCCTTTGCAGACATCCGTTTGAGCCTGCCCGACCGAGAGGGCGGCGAGGTCATGAGGGCACCACCCGGGATAAAGCTTAGCCTTCATGCAGTGCCCTTAGGGAAGCTGAAAGTCCAGATCGGGACTCATCATACCAACGCATTAGTAGACGGGGGAGCAAAAATCACTCTCATAAGGAGAGATTTCGCAACAATTACGGGTTGTACGGTAAACAAGGAAGTAACAGGGAGCATCCAGGGAGCTGGCGGGGAAATCCCGTTCGCTGGGTATGTCACGAAGTGCGTAGTAAAGGCAGGAGTCAAAGAGTCGATCTGGTCGTTTCAGCGAATGACCGTAATGGAGGAAATGGACCACGACATAATCCTCGGGAGACCGTGGTGCGCAAACGTAGAAATGATAGGCATGCACTTGCACGACGGCTCGTACATGGTAGACATAGAGGACCCAGTGACCGGCCGGGGAGAACTCCGACTCCTTGGAACGGGAGGAGGACCCCCGAAGGGGAAATTGGCAACATGGTCGTCGTCATTTGAAGATAGCACACGAAAGGGGCCTTTGCTCGAATGGAGGGCATGAGAGAGAGAGTAGAGATCATGATCGAGGAGGCCTTCAATAAGAAGGAATGGATCAAGATGGGCCTGCCCGAGAAGAAGAGGAGACAGGACAAGTTTTAGAAATCAAATAGTTCAAAAATTGTGGATTCATTGGATCACAATTTTTTTTAGAAAATATAAAAAAGCGTTTTTCTACAGTTTGTCAATTTTGTTGTTATGGAATTTAATAGAGTAGGAGTCAGAAGTCGAACTTGGTGCCAGCTTGCCCAAGCGGAAAGAAGTACGCATGGACGTGCCAGAAATCGTGCTCGAGATCCCCAATTTGTTGCAGCTCATCAAGGCCCTCAGATACCACAAGGTAGGAGTGGACTTGGCGGCCCTGGCCAAATTCGAAGGAAAGGTGCAAAAAGGATATTGTCTGAATGGGAAATTAGTTAGTATTCAACCACGAGTCGTAGAAGCAACGAAGGCAATGCCGGCCGTTCATTTTTTAGGAGAAAGGTCTCGGAAGGAAGTGTTCGAAAGCACAAGCCGGTAGGGAAGAAAGCAAAACCGGTCTCGATCCTGCTAGAGACATCAAAGGAAGAGGCTATGGAGAAGGAGGAGGAGGTCCTCCAAGTGATCCAAGAGAGAAGAGCGACGGAAGGGCATCGGATACCAGATGAGGTAGCTGACACAATGAAGATAGGGGTAGAAGGATTCCTGACGGAGGAGGAAGATCGCCTGATCAAAAGGACCTGCCAAGAGTTTCACCTAGCATTTGCTTTTAGTGATGATCAAAAGGGGCGGCTGGATGCGAAGCTGATCCCTCCGGTCAGAATCCACACTGTAGAGCATGAGTGCTGGAACGACAAGGGTCCGTCCTATGAGTTTGGGATAGTAGGGGAAGTGACAAACCTCCTCCGAGCGAAGATGGACTCCTTCGTCGCAGAACCTACAGCGTCGTCACACGCGAACCGGTGGTTCATCTTTCGGAAGCCCAACAAAACACTGAGATGGATTCAGGATCTGCAAAAGTTGAATGCGGTAACCATCCGGGATGTTGGCTCGCTGCCTCAGGCTGATTTGCTAGCAGAATCGCACGCCGCCGGAGCATTTACTCCCTGATCTATCTATACTCAGGGTACGACCAACTTCCATTGGATGTCAGGGATAGGCCGTACACCGCAATGCACACCCCTGTAGGCCAGTTGCAGATGCAGGTGACCCCGATGGGCTTTACAAACCTGGTAGCCGAAGCTCAAAGGAGGATGCTCGCCGTAGCTGGAGATATGTTTCTAGAGAAGTGCGAGCCCTACATCGACGATAATCCGATCAAAGGCGCGTAGGAAAAGGACGAGACGGAAGTCCAGCCGGGAATCCGAAGGTTTGTGTGGGACCATCTAGAAGACATCAAGGACTTTCTCCGCCGATTCCTAGTATACAACATCACGACTAGTGGACCAAAGAGTATTATAGCAGTACCGGAAGTAACCATATTGATTTCGTTGTGGCGCGTATGGTAGGAAGCCGGATTTGGCAAAGACGGACAAGATATCGCAATTGTCAACACCCCTGCGCACGACAACAGAGGTAAGGGCGTTCCTAGGCGTGGTCGGATTTTGGAGGATCTTCATTAAGAATTTTGCCAAGATTGCCGAACCTATTCGGACCATGATCAGAGAAGAAGGAACCATGGATTGGACGGAGGAGCGAGAAGGAGCCGTCCAAACCCTTAAGGACATATTGACATCTGAGCAAGTCGCCTTGTCCGCGCCTTGTTTTAATGACGAAGTGGGATGACCATTCATCCTAGAAACGGATGGAGGACCCTTGGCCGTAGGAGGCGTGCTGATTCAACGGGATGAGGAAGGGAGAGTGAGACCGATTAGGTTCGAAAGTAGAACCCTGAAATCCGCAGAACGGCGGTACTCGCAGTTCAAAAAGGAGGTCTTAGCCATCTTAGATTGCCTCAACACCTTCCAGGCCTACCTGTTTGGGAGGCGATTCGGGGAAAGGCACCCGGGGCCACGTAGGATTAAGCAAAAATAATGGTATCCGGGGCGAAATGTGTCGAGGACCACCCGTGGGACTAAGTGCCGAGGACCTCCGGCGGGACTAAGTGTCGGGACCACCGGCGGGGCTAAGTACCGGGGACCACCGACGGGACAAGTGGCGGGGACATGTGAAAGTCCCAAGAAGAAACGATGGCGCCGCATGAGGGAAAATAAAGACAAGGTGCACCGTCAAGATCAAAATCTTGACGGCCAAGAATATTAGCACCAGTAGTGCAAGCACTAGTGGTAGCAAACGGGAAGACCAAAAGGAAAAGAAGTAAAGAAACTGAAGTGGGAGGCATAGGAGAAATCCGAAAAATCTCGGATCAGCCTCCCTCAAGAAAATAGAGTCGAGAGAGACCCCATGTGAAAAATAGGCCTCCGGGAGGAAATCGAATAGAGAGGCCGTTGTGGGAGAAATGTAGGAGTAAAAGGARGCTCCCATGGGCATGGGAAGGCCATTATTGCAGTCCAAGAAATAACGAACTGCACCTTGGACATACAAAACTAAGAGGAAGAGGTAAGAAAAGGGACTTAATGGCCACTTGACACTTGGCATGCTAGAAAAAAGAGAGAAAAGAAAATAGAATGTGGGAGAATAAGACAAAAAGAGTGAGAGGGAGTGAGTGAGTTGGCCGTTAGTAGGGACTGCCACAAATAGGGACTGGCAGGTCCCTACTGTCCAAGAAAGGAGGAAAAAGAAAAGAAAAGAAAAGAGAAAAAGGCCTTAACAGTAAAAAACGGCCACTTGGGGAGATTCATCCGTGACCAGATTTATTATGGAATATGGCGGTTACAAAGGACTTTGATTTTCTTTGATTTTTGCAGAGGAAATCAAAGAAAATCAAGGCCCCATGCAACCGAGATAAAACGGATTACATGCATGAGGAGAAACACATGTTTTAAGTGCATCCGGAGCCAAAATCAAGCCCGGATGCACTTGGGAATTGGCCGTTTTTTTTTTCTTTTGAGTAGGGACTAGTTGTGGGGCTGTGGGACTAGAGAGATGGCGATGACTGCAGTCCGAGAAATAACGGACTGCATGGGGGTGCCTAGGCTAAGAGAAAATAAGCCACGACAAACCCGGAAGGCTAGAAATAAGCAATTTCGACGTAGGGCAAGAAAAAACGGTAAACAGTAACCGTGAGATAAGATCTCACGACCTAGAAAAATCGGCACGCATGTGGAGAGGATGGGACCACCAAGGGCAAGAGGGCTCCCCCCAAAAAAATGGGACACCGTCTGGAATGTTGTCGGGGACCAAGTGGGTCCAAATAATAAAAATCGAAAAACGGGACACGCGTCGGCGGAACCGCTGGCGGGACAAGAAAATGGGACTGGTATGGAGGGAAGTGGCGGGGACTTGGGATGTCCCAAGGGAACCGTGAGCAAGCACAAATAATAATTGTGTAAGCAAACGGCACCGTCAAGATTGAGGATCTAGACGGTGGAAAATATTAGCACCACTAGTGCAAGCACTAGTGGGGGCAAGTGGGAGAGTTGTGGGAGAGAAGAAATTAAAATAATAAGGTTGGGAAGGCTGCCCAACAGTCCGAGATATCTCGGACTAGCTAAGCATGAGAAAATAGAGCCCCAAGAGGCCCGACATGGCAAAAAGGCTGCCCGTAGAAAATCGGAGCCAAGGGGGTTCAAAATTGGGCAAACGGGAACAAAGTGGAGCCCTCTAGGAACATGGGGGTGCCTTTGTTGGAATCTGAGATGTAACGGCCAAGTAACAACCATGAACCTGGCCTTGAATGAGGCCTTAGGGCCTAGAAAGAAGGTGCACAGCAGTTTGACACTTGTCACAACTGAAATAAAAGAAAAAGAAAGAAAAATGAGAGAAAAAGGAGGGAGAATGAGACAAAAAGGGAGAAAAGAGTGGAGGAGAGTGTGCCGGCCTATTGGGACCTGCACAGTAGGGACTGGCAGGTCCCAACTGTGACCTCATCCCTCCTAGAATGAGGGAGGGCAATCCGGAAAGTAGAGTTATGGCCCTTGGGGCCATATCTCAATAAAATCTGAATTAAAAAGTAGAAAATGAGAGAAATGCAAAAGGGAAAAGGCCGGTTTGCTTTTGGATCATGGATCTGAGATCAGATCTCATGGTGGAGAGGAACTAGCCGTTTTTTGTGGGCCAGCTCAAAACGGCTAGCTCCGGAATGAGGTGGCAGCCCAAAATGGAAAGAAACAAAAGAGGGAGAAGGACGAAACTGTGCATTTGGCCCAAAAAGAGAGCCAGATGCACCAAAAATTGAAAAAGTGGACTTAGGGGCTCAAAATTGAAGCAAGGGCTACTAGGGGGTGACACGGATTATTGCTGGCCTTGAATCTCAGCGAGATCCAAGGCTGAAAGTGTGCCGTCACATGGAAAGATGCTCCGGCCTACCCAAGGGAGGCCGAAACTTGAAAAAAATCGAGAAAAAGGCCCACAAGGTCTGTTTCTTTAAAGTAAAATTGCCCCTTGGGCATTAGGATCCAAGGGGGCAGCATTTGCAAGGTGGAAAGGAGGCCGGAGTAGGCCAAGAGGCAATCCGAGTTGGTACCAACCACTCGGACTGCATGTATTTGGCCAAAAAGAGGCCCGGGTACCTCCGAAAGGGCCTAGTGGTGGAATTTTGCCTTGGGGGTACCTCGGTTCACCTCAAGGCTCCTGGGGAGGCTCATGGGCTGGCCGGACTGCTGTTTTCAGCCTACATAAGCTGGGAATTCAGCCCGCCACTTCCACAATTGCATGAGGAGTGCCCATGCTGCCCAAGTGAGCTCATGAGAGCACTCTTTCACTTGGAGAGAGGAGAGGAGAGCCCATGCTAGTTGGGAGCTTGGTGGAGGCCATGAGCTTGAGAGAGGAGCTCTAGACACTACAGGAAGTGAGGCTGGCACTAGGGAAGGCGATCCGCCATAGCCCCCTGAA